GATCAGGCAGGAGGCAAAAACGATTCAAAATGTATGTGGGTTTTCAAATTTAGCATATTTTTACCAAACTGTCGTAGACCAGCATTATTTAATGTACAAATTAATTTACCATGTCAAGATTTTCACCAATTTTGGAAGATGTGTATAAATGAGCAAATCAAATCGAATGCTTCCTTTTGAATCAAAAACAGAGGTGCAGTAAGTATTAACAATATTTTGTATTCTATTCCTCTGTTTCAGCCTTGAGAAGATTTTGGGACCAGCAGGTGTCTACAAGCGCCCGTTTTACGACGACAATTACATAGACAGAATGACCTACTACTACACTAACATGTTCCTTCTCTTCTACGTTATGTTATCCGTTACGGAAGAGTGGTTCCAGTTTCCGGTCAAGTGCTTTTGTCCGGTAAATTTCTCTCCAGAGGAGGTACGCTACACAAATCATCTATGCTGGGTTGAGAAAATGTATTTTGTTCCCTGGAATAGGACTATTCCGAGTGATTACGACATCCGACAACTGGAGATGCAGATTCAGTACTACCAGTACGTTCCTGTCACGTGCTTGATGATGGCGTTCCTGTTCTATCTACCCAGGCTTGTCTGGAAGCAATGCACCAACTCCAGTGGACTGAAGCTGAAGAAGCTGATAGAGATGGCGAGATCTTACCAACTGGATGATGATAATACTCTGATGGAAAATGAGTTGAAGTTTCAGTACGGTTTAATTGACATCGATCCTTATGGAGACGAAAGGCGGAAAGACGTGGTCAGAACGCTAACAGAATACATTGACTTGTACTGTGCCAAGTCTCAGCCTTACAGAGCTGGGGCACTGCCTTCGTTAAGGGAACGCTTTGGGAGTCTGTGTTACCTTGGTATAGGCAGACACTATGGTAACTTCTTTCCCGCTCTTCAGATCGGTGTCCGAGCTCTATATTTTCTGACTGCCTTCGGTCATCTGTGGTTTTTGAATGCATTCATTGGAAATGAGTTTGCTTTCTATGGTTATGAGGTCGTTATGCGATTTTTGCGAGGCGAAGAGAATTATATCGGAACTTCTCGGTTCCCCATTGTCACATTGTGTGATCTGGAGATCAGAAGAATGTTTACGTTTTATCGGTACACTATACAATGTGTTATCCCCATCAACATCTTCAATGAAAAGTTCTTCCTTTTTCTTTGGTGTTGGCTTGTTGTCCTTTCTTTGTTGTCTTTCTTAAATCTGTTTATATCCATTGGCAAATTTGTCACCCATTTCACGAATATATCGTTTTTGAAGAAGTATCTAGCAATAAATGAAATATACTTTAGAGGTGAAAAGTCGATGAAAATTCCCATTAGACGATTTTACAACCATTTGAAACAGGATGGTGTATTTATTCTTCGCTTGTTAGCGCAGACGACAAACACAGTTGTCGTCACGGAAGTCATGAGGGAATTGTGGGCTAAGTTTCGGGAGAGAGAGTTGGAGGAAAATGATCCGAATTTCGAGAATAACAATATCAAGAAATATCCACCGACTAATGGCGTTGTGAGGTTCAATAATACGGTGATACACGTCAATGGAAATGGATCGCTCTCTTACTGTTCAGAGAGGGACCTTGTCACCAGATTTAGAAAAGAAACGTTTGTTTAAGAGCTTAATATTTATGCTGCACAAATGTATAAGCATGTTTTGCAATTTGCACAACAGTTTATTTTAATAAAAGAGAAAATTGCATGATATGATTTTTTTAAATGTGTTTTTAGTTGCTTTTTTAGTATGTAAAACCGAAAAAGTTAATTCTTTTAAAATGCCTACAATATTGAAATGTTCAAAATGGCCCCTATTTACACCTACAAAACAAGATATTTTTTTATATTTAAAAAATCCTTTCGATCGGAATTAATGGTTGTTGGCCAATATTTCATTTTTTCTAAGAATATACCTGTTCAATCGAGTTGCACATAAGTGGAATACTCTTTACAAAGCATCATTAATCATTAAATTTTAGAGTTACCTCTCTTCTCAGTCATGCCAGAGGCACATGAATTTGTGCGGTTTTCATAAGTTATTGTTAAGCTGAAAAATGTTTATTTAAAAAAGTTGACTTTTTCAAGAAATATTTACTTACAATGTAACACGTGATGATAAACAACGATATCAGAAAATTTAAAATCATAACTTGTTACTGAAATACATTCGCTTTTTTCAATATTGTATACATCCATTCCCCAACATTTAACAAGTTTTTTGACATCAAAAACGGCTGCTTTTTTCAGTTCAAATGGAACTCATTAATGAACTTACATTGACATCAGTCATTTGTAAAATTATTTTTAAAAACATTATGATTGTACACTCACAAGGACTTTGAAGCTGATATTAAAAAGAACTTCTGATTGACGATATCTAAGTAGTTTTCGGAGATCATGTTTTCCAACAATCCGTCGGAATTCCTTGGGTACAAATTGCGTCCATCATAAGCAAACGTATAAAGCATAATTGTTTCCAAAAACTTATTCGTGAGGGAAAAAAAAAGACTTTTTGTAGTCTTCAAAACGATATTGAGTAATATCGAAGACGTGTTATCTGTCAACAATAGTTATTTCATTCATTTGTCGACTCGATATATCCCAGTGAACTTAATATCAAAGGTACCACAGAGTTTGACACATCTGTTTCACATTTGGATATTTTTCTAGAAAACGACGTTAATTAATAGGTAACTAACATGAAACCTTATGATAAGGATAAGGATTTCAAGTTTTCTATCGTCAACTTCTCTTACTTGTGTAGCAATATACCCTTATCACCTGTTTATTGGGATTATGTCTCCCAGTTGATTCGAAACGCAAGAGCATACTCTTTGTACGAAACATTTCTAAAAAGAGGAAAGCCATTGACACGCAAGTTGATGAAATAAGAATATTAACAGTCTCGTTTAAAGTCATCAATTTGCATGACCTTATAAGCAAGAACAAGCTTTTGTTTTGTGGAATGCTGACGCTGACTGAAACTTTCATATACCAATTGTTAGACCAATAATTGCACACTGAATTTTCAGCGGATTTTCCCGTTTTCCTAATCATGACAAGGAGCACACAGCGGGTGTGACCGGTCGACAGGGGATGCTCATTCCTCCATGGCACCTAAGCCCACCTCTGATGATTTGGAAGTCCGTGTTTGCTCTGCTCCTGATTTGTATTGTTTTAATGGGCTTATGAGCTTGAATACTGTTTGTTATTACCATATTTCATTAATATCAAGAGAATGCATTATTGGAAGAACTTCGATGACTATTAAGATCTGTCAAGCTTGTGAAAATTGCAAGACAATTGCTTTTTTTCATGAAACCTGTTTTAAGTTCTATTGACATCAGATTCTATTTCTGTAATGAAACATGAAGAGATAATGAACGAGTATTCAAGCTCAAATACAAATCAGGAGCAGAGCAAACATGGACCTCTAAAACATCAGAGGTGAAATTAGGTGCCATGGAGAAGTGAGCTTCCCCTGTCGACTGGTCAGAACCGCCGTGTGCTTTTTGTCAAGATGGGCAATAACGGAAAATCTCTAATAAAGTTCTGTGTGTAAAAAGAAATGGCTAACAATTAGTATGAAAAACGTCAGTCAGCATTTTTCTTAATGATAGATTGTATTTGCTGACAATGTCATTGAAAATATTTATTTAATAAAGTCCCTGCGCAAAATATTTTGAAAAAGACGCGACAAAACTCTCCTAAGAAAAATTCCTTATCTTTAATTCATTTTAAAAATGCTTTATTAATCAGAAAGCAATTTAATATGACATGCCTTCAATTCTAAGGACCCTTCGAGTGTACATGTGCAGTCATTCACCTGCTCATTATTCCATGTTCTTTTATGATCGTCAATAAACAGATTATAATCAAACCATCAATAAAGATGGTTGGTAAGTATGCATTATATAGATTTGATATCGTACAAAGTAGGCTAGAATTAATAAAACGGAAAACAGCAATAGAGGACCAAGGTCTGTTTACGTATACTTGAGATTTGAAGGGACTATACTGTCTTCTGTATATATTAAACGGCGTCATGTTCTTGAGAGGACCATTCATTTTGAAAAGAAATAAAATCTGAAAAAGTTCCTATTCAAACCAATGGTTTCTTTGTGGTGGTAAATATTTTCATACATATCTATGAGCATGGATTTCTCATATTTTTCTGCAAACGTCCATTTTTTAAACTCCAATTTCTGACAGAAACCAATGCATGTATCTCTCTTGACCTCTGAGCCTGTTTATGTATTTACATGTATTTTCTATTTTGTAAGAAATGTACGTTTTTTTAATTGATGTTTTAAATATAAAAAATTCTTACTATCAAAATTATCTAACATACTGCTTCTTAAACTGTGACAATTCGCAATAACAGGGCTCAAAATTTAGAAGAAAAAATTGATAAAATCCGTTAAACAAACAAAAAATTGCGAAAAAATAGCTGCAACTGTCGCTAATTTTGATATTACATCAAGATAAGGTGATATATTGATTCCTTTTGCCCTTACAGGTCTTCTGTCCAGAAGATAAACTAAAATTATATAACGGTAAGTCTCAATAATCTACACCCTAGATAAAAACCTATCAACAAAGAAATTTACCTACTCTGTATGTTCCTGCGCATCATCGATCAAATTTTTGACAACTCTGTAAGCTTCTGCATGCCTTAGCATGCAGCATATTTTTTAAAGGTGGATTTATTTGACTTCAGACAGATTTTTTAAGTGGAACCAAAACAGAACTTGAAAATTTAATCTTTTTTCCGATAAAGTAAACAACGGGTTGTATTCTTTGAAAATTTAAAACTACCAATTACAACAATATAATCACAATGACACCATTCACCAATGCGAGTACTGAGCAAGGGCATACCCGACATATCACTTTGTTACGAGCATTAACATAATTTTTCATTTTCCACAACTTTTTGATTAACATCCAAGAAAAATCAAAAGAAACAGATGACGATCATAAAATATATCTTTTTTAATTCTTTATTCGTTTTTGGAAGTTAATTACAATATACAAAATACTCTCTCACCAGTGACATCATATGTTTAACAGATTTATTAATTTGACTTTAAAAAAATAAAAGTATATCACAAAAATATGAGACAAAATGGATCTTAAAGAATCAGGCCAAGATTAAAAAAAATCTTTGTTTGCAGTTGCCGATCTATAATTTTTAGACTGGGTAGGTAGGTAGACATTCTTTTTTTTTCTTTTTTTGAAAAAAAAAATTGTTTTCAGATTTTTGTTAGAAAACATTAAATAGAGTTTTTCATAGGCCTACTATACACGAGTAAGCTCCACTCTTGGTATGAACTACTGATTGATAAAAACCAAAATTGAAAATGAAACAGTTTCAATATCGTGAAAAATGAAAAAAAAAAAAATATTACAAAATGGCTAAAAAAAAAAGTTTGGGTCGGGTGCATTTTCAGTGGGTCGGTAGGCAACTGCAAACAAACAATATTTTATTTTAGGCCTTAAAATACATGTAAAGCTTATTGCTATATGTATATACGTTCCATACTTACAGCACCGGTAAATTTACATATACTTCGAACCAGTGAATTCAAAATTAACATGATTAAATGGTTATAAAATGTGTATCTTCAAACCAAAAAATTAAAACGCTGCTTAAAAATAAAACTATTGCATAAAAATCTTACATGACAATCGTTTTTCCTCATGATAATATATGGTGAGGAGTATGTATATCGATGTAGATTTTTTTTGTTTACAATTCTTGAAATGTTTTTGATTTTAAAAAATGAAATCAATATTCTACTTTAGGAACACTAATTCTGCATTTACTTACATAAAACTATGATTTGTGGCACAACGCAGTAAATAACCAAGCACTCTAATGGGTAAATATAAAAAGCACCATATCTTAAACAAAGAAAAAAGATTAACAAATTCAACAACACCAACGGACCGTTTCAGAAATATATGCAGTATACAAATAGATCTTAGAGATAAAATTTTGTCAATCCGACACTATACATGTAAAACTGCAACACCTGTTTGGAATTTAAATTATTTTAAATAAAATGAAGATGTGTTCAACATATGGCCTTTCACAATTTTATTAGCACTGTAAAATAAGTTAACAAGATCATCAAGTACTTGAGAATGGTTTCATGATCAATTTAACCTAATACAAGGCAATAACACGAGGCATTAACTGTTCTTTTACATGAACACATTGTTTTCAGCATCTTCGCTAGCCAAGGGTTGAGCGTTGCGGACCGAAAACCCTTGGCTAGCGAAGATGTGTTTTCAGTGTTGACTTCTTGCCATTCCAATTCCAAAAAAAAATTATATGAAAGTATGTAAATTGTTTAATATTCTCTTACGTTCAGTGTTGAGGCTTTTCAATATATACAACCCTACCAGACATGTTTTGCATAAAAGTGGCCTATTTACCTGTATTAAACCTGTTAAAGCAAGAGAACAAATGCATTGGTATGGGTGCATCTCAAGTAATAAAACTTTAAGTGAAAAGGAATTTTCAGATGTTAAATAAGACAAACAAAAAATTTCGACTTGCATGTATCGACTCAGCACTGAATCTCGTCATCTTCGAGATTCATGTAACTTTTGATCGTGGGTTTCTCACAATAATTTGTCCATAATGTCTCCACCAACTCTGAAGCCAGCACTTGGCTAGTGTTTGCGGACACCATCCAAATCACAAATATACCGTCATTCCTCAAATAATTCTTGATAAACTTATCCACCAGGTCTCTTTGTCTAGCTGCGCCTTTGGAGTTGAAATGTTTAGGCTCCGATAAATGCAGATATTTGAGTATATAATGGTGCTGCCTCCATGGCAAACAGAATGTGACCATGTTCCAGACAAGATGTCCGCCATTGATGAGGGTCATTACAACGAGAAGAAACCACGTGATAACAAAGAGTTTCTCATTAAACAAATTAATTGGAAGTGAACACTGAACAGTCCAGCGTTGTAGATTAGACAGCTGTCTAATGTCAAAGTCACAATAGGTCACCAATGGAAAGCGTTCCAGATCCTTCCACTTTTTTCCTTCAAACATTAACATGAGAAAATCCGGACCAATACGAAGAAAATTATTTCCCAGTAAAAGCTCTAACAGGAAAAATTGTCCAAGTGTATTTGCAAAATACAGGAAGCCAGTAAAAAGATAGAACACCATCATAAAATTCCCCTTGTGTATTCCTACGGACGCCATGGCTTCCTTGATTCGCCTGGAAGTTTTCGTTTTCCCCATGATACAGTCCCTTATATCAATCCATCTGTCAATGAATTCAGCCAACTGTCCAATCTTGTCCTTTCTTTCATCAGGACTGTCGTAAGATGCATTATCCGCTATCCTCAGCACCTTCTTCAGATCAAAACCAGAATACCCGTTCCAGTGTTTCCAGAACATTCTCGGTAGGAAGAACATGAAGGCTTGTAAAGCGAAGATGATAGGGACCCACTGGTAGTACATAATCTCCTGGTCCTCTCGCTCCCTGTGGTCCACCGGAAGTGAATCCTCGAACGGGACGAGGTAGGTGTTTTTGATCCAGCAATAGGCATTGGCGTAGGATACATGGAACTTTTTGAACTGAGCAGGGCACCAGCAAGATATTGGTTCTCCGACAAACTGTTCAGCACTAGAGAAGAGGGTGAGTGCAATGAAGAAGGCCATACAATAGAGCCGGTTAAGACGATGTGCGCCCGTGTCGTCTGTGGTTCCGATCTTTATCTTCTTAAAGGCCTTTCCTGTTATGTCTTCAACACTGCAAAAAACAAGTTGAAGTTCAATAATCAAAAAAATTCTGATTCAAATATTAATTCTTATGGCATTTAAAAATTCTTTGTTGGGTTTACGATGAGACAGCAAGCTTTCTCCTCATGGGCATCTGATCCCTCCTTTGGAATTTACTGACTTTTACAGTGGACCATAATGTGCCTTGTTTACAGATTTGTTTTGTTCGTGAAATTGATCACTGTGCGTTATCTTTCCATTTTTCGATGCTTTGAGGGTGACCAACACAAACCCCAAGTCAAATAAGGTTTTTGTAGATCTTATGTGTATGCATACAATTTGATACTGATTACTGAAAGAAGTTGGGAGTAACACTCCACTCCCAACCACCCACAAAATAGTAATTTGGAGTTTTGAAGATTTTTCCTTCTATCTTATTGTCAAGTTTTTTAAGGTTAGTTAATTTATTTTTTCTGAGTGTCCTCTTTCAAAAAAACGAGGCCACGTCCCTGAATCATATAAAAATACTGTTTTTATAAGGGAGAATCTCTTAAACACGTCACAAATACAGAAATTAATATCAGATATTGGAAAACAGGTACATTAAACTAGGAATTCATGTATCATTTTATAATATTATATATTATAAAAAATAAGATTCTATAAGGGCGGGGATGCCCCAGCCTCTCTATGGGTGTCTGTGATATTTTTTTTTCATTTTTATATCAGTTGATTAAAATGGAGAAAGATACATGCATGGTCACGTTTCTTTTTGGGGAAATACATAATCCCTTTTTAAGCAAATAAAAAACACCCACACAGAGAAATAGTCTTATCATCTGTGGAGTTGTATATTATTGAGGACAATAACCAATAATTCATTCATCGAATACTGTAGGAATTATCCTACGCCTAAAGTCTTGGTCAGGAACACATTTACAATGCTTTTCTTTGAAATATGGAACTTACTACAATGTACATGTACCCATGTATGCTATAAGGATGACAAAATTGTATACATATCCGCGGAAAAAAAATTACAACATTAAAAATGGTACATGTATTAAATTTAACATTGGTCGCATTAAAAATCAAACCACATACTGCTTGTATACGCCTATTGTCTAGTTTGTGAGTTTGTTAATTAAATTCATAAAATGTAAATGCACATAATCTATCAAAAGCAATCACGTGTATGTAAACATCAAACATGAATTGAAGTTACTTCCTTTTTGCTAGGTTCTCAAATTAACATATTAACTTTTATAGAAAAAAAGTTTATACGTATACAAGTTTATATAATATTCTAAGTGGCTCCTACATTATAAGTATTTTTTGTCCTGCATTTATGTGTACCACTTTGCGGCCTACTGTGTACAACACTCTCTAGCGAGGAGCCACTCAGGCACTGCCAGCAGCTCTTTTTTATTTGCCTCTGAATAAAAAAAAAATTGAAACTGAAAGTGACACTTATTATTCATTCTTCTGGAACTCTATAGAAATAAGATGTGATGTATAACCAAATGCAGTGGGTAAAAGACCTAGAGGGAAAGTTATTTCGTGATAAGTTCTTATCTCAGCGAGAGATAGTAACAGTTCCCATATATTTTTCACGATCAATCGCCGCCCATAAATGAACAGAATACTTTAAGACTTTACATGAATACATTTCTTGTTTGTCAGTAAGATCCCATGTTGGGAAGTATTTATCCGAAGGAATATTTATTTCTGACTTCCTTGTTCGAAGAATTGCGTTTTAAAATTTCTCTTTAACAGATCTAGAGGAAATGTTGATTTATATTCCCTGACATCAGCCATCGCCTGGCTCATCCATTGTTACGAAAAAAATGACATCAATGTTGTCATACAAGAGAAAAATCACCTAACATTATATCTGAAGAGTTTAAAGTATTTAAGCTTGAATTAAACTTTGTTGTTACAGACACATGTCCTGTAATGGAATCTTTTGTCAATTTGTGGCAAACTTCCTTAAAACATTGACAATGTGTTCCTTAATTCTAGATCGTTATTCCTCAGGAGTACACTTGGTAAAACTTTATCTTCATATATATATAATATGTATAAGCATATTCAATAAAAATTTAATTTTGTTAAATTTTTAGATGAACTTTATCATATTCAAGTTGACTTATTTTTGTCTTACAATCCTTAAATAAAATTAATATAAAAGTCCACGTTACGAAATGCACATTTCAGTAAAAATAAATAAATAAATGAAAAGGAATGCTGTTCTTTTACGGTTGGTTGGATTTAAATAGATTTTTAAAAGTGTCTTTAAGGGTGAATAAAATAGGGTCATTATCTTTATTTATAGAATGCAGTAAATGCGTCAATTTAATGTTCAAATTTCTGATGTAAGTCAAGATCAGATTAACAATATCCTTTACTACAAGATTGTGAAAGATAGATGGGAAGAAAATGAATGTAGAAAAGAATAAAAATACAGAGAAAACTGGGAAAGTCCAACGAAAATTGAAAAAAAAAAAAAACGTTGAGTAAATTAGTACTTACAGATGACCCATATTGAGAGTCTGTATTTGGTCCTAATTCCTTATCGTGGTTTATTCATCACCCAGGAACGATTCACTTTCCCGTGGTCCTCCCAACCTTACCTGGAGATATAAACACAGGTATGGAAGGCAGCTGTGTCATGAGTGTGTCTAAGGTGTGCGCTCTGTGGTGAATTAAACCCCACACCGATCGAGGGTGTAAAAATACTTTTATGTGACGACAGCCACACTTGATAGCTGAACAAAAGCCCTATAGCATGCCGTCCTAGCCATATTTTTGTTAATATAAAGTCGTCAAAAATTCGGATTTAAATCCCGTGCATTTAATATTCACTGAAATTTTATTTCTTTCGAAATTACAAGTTTAAAAAATATTGACCATGCATGCGTGTTCTCTTGATTTGAACATATTTTATTGTTTTACACAAAAGGCGTGTTCTCTTACCATCCTAATCAAAACATTTTTAAAACATATATCGATTAATATTTTTTTTTAACTCTTCCCTTTAATATCCATTTGTATGAACTATTTACTTTTACCTTTAAAAAAAAAATATTAGTACAGGTCTAATTTCATTCCCTGTGTCTGTAAACTTTTAATAACTTTTTTCAAACAAGACAACCAATCTTAACAAAATGATTAAATTACCTTATAAGTTTGTATCCATGCTTACAAATATAATTAAGATATGATTAAAGTTGAAATGTAAAGAAAACGCAATAGTAAAAAAAAAATGAAAAGTGTTTTAAATGAACTTTAACCCCAAATCATCAACCAATGGAGGACTGGGCGATGAAAAAAAAGTCCATATTCAGTAACGATAACTTCAATTCTATCGAATCGAAAATCTTCCCTTACCGAAAATATTGCCTTCCTGCAAATATTTGCTGCAAGTCTGCAGCAAACATTACTGCAAACTTGCAGCAGGCATTGCTGCAAGCTTTCGGCGATGTACCAAGAAAGCACGACAGTCTATTCAAAGCCTTTGGAGTTTGCAGCAAGTTTGCGGCAAACATTTTACCATGCAAATGAGGTTTGCTGCAAGTCTGCAGCAAACATTGGGTTTTCCAAATATGGAAACATTGCTGCAAGCTTGCGGCAAACATTGCTGCAAGCCTGAGGCAAACATTGCTGCAAGCTTGCAGCAAACAATTTCCCTATGGTTTTGGCACATTCCTGTGTACAAGCAGCAAGTTCTTAGAAAGCCTTTGTCCTGACCTAAATCTGTTAATTATAGAGAAAATCCACCACAATTCTGAAATGATGCAATCATGAAGTTTTGATAGGCTCTCTATTTGTTCCTAGACAAAGTTTCCGTACTCTTTTTAAATTTAAGTGCATTCAATTGCTTCTTGTTATATGAACAGAACATTGAGAACTTTACAGTTACTAATTCATTTGAAATCATGTAACTGATTTGGGTCCATTAAATTAATACATGTACATTTAAGAAGTATACATATGTGATATTATAATGAAGACTGAAATTCATAAAAAATAGATTCAGATTTGACCTAGCAGTTACACCAGTTACCCAAACATGCTTTTAAGAAACATTTCTTTCAAAATAAAACAAAATCAGATCTTACCAATTAGATATCATGGATGCCAATGAAAACCTACATCCAGAGTTATGCACTTTTAATCACTCAAAATGGTATATATTCTTAACAAAATTAAATACTGAAACATGTACAACTTCTATTCAAACAATTCAAAATGGCCAGTTCTGTGTTGACCCCAGTACAATCTGAATTTCATTGGCTGATTTGACTTGTTTACTGTTCTTGCGAACTTCCTGCAAGCATTCAAATCATGAAATGTTTCCTGCAAACTTGCTGCGAACATTAAATTGGCGTGTATGTTTCTTGCAATGTTCCTGCAAACATGTTGGGTTCCTGCGAATTTGCTGCAAGCTTGCAGCAATTGCTGCTATGTTTGCCGCAAGATCGCAGCTAGCGGCAAACATCTGCGAACAAGAAAATTTTCTTCCTGCGAACAATTTTGTTTGCTGCAAGCTTGCAGCAGGCCTGCAGCAGACATATCAGTTTGGTAAGGGTTTGCCTTTATTTGTCAGATAAGGGAGGGGAATATTTGATCTGAAAATTCGAAAATTTCAAGAAAATATTCATTTACTTTTTTTGTCAAAAATTTCAAAGCAATAATTTTGTATCATGTTTTTTTTTCTTTTTTGAGATTTTATCAAATATCATTGTACGTAGCTTTCAAATCAATACAGTCATGTATTCAAGTTTATCGAAAGTTCGCGAAAAGGATGCATGCTCAACAGAAAAATCAAATAAGGGCTTGGGACCCGGGTGTGGTCAATAGAATGATTTCCAGTTTATTTCCACCGGAAAATACAAGGAAAGCTTATTTGAGTCTGTTTACAGACGGGATTATTTGTCTAATTACAATGCAATGATATGCAGACATCCTTATTTATGGTAGATTTCAGTTTGTTCAACCCATGCTTCTGAATCAGAGGGGCCACAGCTG